GTAGAGCATGCACACACTTCATGTACTATATTATGTAGATCTACTCAGTGCAATAGAAATCAGCTATTGGCATGTTTTAATTTTTTATTTATTGACTTAATCATTTAGTCAATGTTCACTGAAATTCTAATCAATCTAAGTGTTGTGATTACATGTTTCATGGTACACAAAATAACAAACGTTAATAGGCGTTTAGCGTTTGAGAGAATACAGAATGGTATAACTGGACAGTTTGAAATGCAACAAGAAATAGATAAACAGGTTAGATTTATTAAGGCCACTATACACCAGGCAATTCTATTGCAGGCAATGTGTGGTTACTTTGATGTTGTAAGCAATGTGTTGCCTAGAATAGAACATGTTTCTATTCTAGGCAACAGTGTTGCCTGAAGATCAAAGTAACCACAGATTGCCTGCAATAGCATTGCCTGGTGTATAGGGGCCTTAAAGGCAATTTTGTAGGACAATGAATATTGCTAATGAATGCTCTGAATTAAATTTACTATAAGTTATAGCTATTCAGTTGAATCTCTCAGGCTGTATCCACAATAAGTTGAATGGCTTTTATCATTGTTAATTGTAGGAAAATCTCCTCAATTCAATATTTCCTCCAGTTGTAGCAAAATTAATTAAAACCCAATTTATTTCAATGTATGATGATGAAGAGCCTATTGATGGAATTGATTCAAGCTCATTTAGGAAACTTAATGTTAACAGATTTGAGAATGTCAGGTATATGTGGATAACATTGTTCTAACAATAATTTATTTTGTATAGCATTTTGTTTGCTGATATTAAAGGATTTACTGCTCTCTCATCCAAAGTTAATGCTAAAATCCTTGTGCGAACATTGAATGAGTTGTTTGCTCGATTTGACTGTTTAGCTGAGGTATACTGGTCAATAGTGTATAATGATTCAATTATATTTTATAGACAAATAAGTGCATGCGTATAAAGATACTGGGTGACTGTTACTATTGTATAGCTGGACTTTACGATAGTAATAAAAATCATGCTCAAAGCTGTGTTGAAATGGGATTACAAATGATTGAAGTCATCAAGTTAGTATTAATCATCAATAATGTTTTAATTCTTTTCAAGATGTGTCAGTCATGAAACAGGCTACAAATTAAACATGCGTGTTGGAATTCACACCGGATCTGTATTTT